AGAACGCGGAGCAATTCGCCGAGAGCGGTAAAAGGTTTAGGGCATCGGTGTGAAAGTTTATTCCCCGCCGTCGACGTGCATCGCCCGGGAGGATAAAGTGACTCGGCTTCGTTCTCGTCATGCCAAGAGCATCGATAACCGTGTAAACGGCGTAAAGAACTCGAACAAAAAAATTGACGTAGTCCTTTTACGATCTATCATTTTTATTTGTGGCCCTCGGGTAGGTCGTAGCGTACCCATAAACAACGATTCCTATTGCCAACGAAAATATTGTAGAACGGAGACAACGTCGCAGTCCGGGAATTCTGCGGAAATACCATCGTCGCGCGAGCCGTTTTAGGGTCGGAGGAACCGCCGCGTCGGTGCTCGATATAAATAAATAAATTATATTCGAGCAGAGGAATTTATATATCGTCCCGTGGCCTCCAACGATAGATCGATCTCCCTGCCATTGACCGAGATGAAACATTCATACGGTTCATGCGATGACTCGGAATCGAACGAGCATTACGAGCGCACTTTCACCTCGACGATTCCGGAGTGTGCACCTCGAACTTCCTCAACATCGAAACAAGGCTCTAACTAATTTATCAGAGCGATTACACACGATTCACGTTTGTATAAGTCTGATACGTGTGAGAGCCGAAAATTGACGAATACCATCACCATTGTTCAAGACGGCGGGACCCCGAGAGCGCCGAACGGAAACCGAAATTCAATGGCTGCTCGGTATCACGGCAATTAAATTTCAGACGCTCTAATGAAGACGAAGGCGTCTCGGAGTTCCTTTTCAACGGGAGAAAGGAGTATCGCCGCGATCTTCGCGGAACGTGTTCGCCGAGGCTCGCTCGATCTCGTCGCCCACGAAAATGTTGGCAAACTCTCCGCGAAATACTTCGCGAAATTTGTCCCAGTGAGGAGGAGCGGCAAAGTTCCGGGGTACCCGGTCGTTCCGCGAGACAGCCAAGTTATAAATACGTATTCATTCACGGCGCGTTAGTAGACTGAAAGGATTCATAGATTCTTTATTCATGTATGCTAATTGCCGCGCGCGCGGATTACGCCGATTAGTCACGAGACCCATCGGTCGGGGGAAGGGTTAACGCAACGTTTACGCACACCGGATCCACCATCTCCGGTGTGTCGCTTTTTTCTCTTGTCCTCTCTTCCTCGTCTGTTCCTTCACGTAACCACGGTGCGAACGATCGTCGACGGGAAAGGACGCTCCGCGGCGTACGTAGATGGCCGGCCGTCAGTCGACGTCTCCCGCGATTAGTCACGTTTCGATTTCGCAAGACGATCGATCCGCCGCGGAACCATCCCGCCCGTCCGCCCTCTTCTTCGTTTCTTCCCTTATTCGAACTGTCCCCGTCCCGCTCGCCGTTCCGTTTCTCTCGCCGCGACGCACTTTATCTCCTCGAACGACAGTTATCGTTCGAACATGCGAGTTTTACGAGCGGGAAGCCGCTCGCTCACCCCGACAACACCGTCAGGGTGAAATACTCGTTACGTAATTCTCTGGACGAGCTCAATTTGTCGAAAAAATAGAATTTCGAAATTCTTTCTAACAGGATGTGACCGTTCAATAGTTAAAGATCGAACACCGCTTTTATAATCATCCACGTCGAATCCTTTCGCCTGATTCATATAGAACTTCGAAGCCTAAGTTAGAAAATCTCAGACATATTAATCCTAATTCTCGCAAGAGATTCTCAACTTCTCCGATTCAAGGTTGATCCGTTACTCCACTCCCCGGTCCTTAAATTCGCGGCAAAACGCGCGATTCCCATCGACCGTGAACGAGCGTGGCTTCAAGCTTCGCTGTTTCCTTTTCATTTTCGAATCGAACTGGGGGAAAACGAAGAGTGAGACGCAGGGGGAGGGTGGCTGGTAGCCGGAGCTCGCGCACCGAGGAACGGTAAGAGAAAAAATACTTTCATCCCCTTTGTTCCGAGGATTGTTCGTAACGAACCCTCCAGTGTCTCGCCGCGCGCGCAGCAGAGGAAGGAGCGGGACGAAGATTCGCCGCGGAGCGGCATCACGCTCCGAGTACCACGAATCGGTGAAACGAGACGCGGAAATAAAGCATCGTCGCTGCGTGAAAACCCTATCGGCGGGATAACTGTTTCTCGAATGTTATCGATCTATTTGTCATATCGATGTAAGCTGCACCGCGGCGGCGGCGGCGTCGAGATTACGGCGCAGACCCCGCAATTTCGCTGGAAAGCCAGAACGCGCCGGCCGAATGAGGGGCTATCGTTGTACGTGCTTCCGTTGCGTTATCGTTTGACCAATCCAACCTCCCTCCCGTCCCTCCTATCCTCCCCCTCTCCCTCCCTCTTTCTATCTCTCTCTCCGTCCCTCTCCTCTTTCGATACACACGGTTACCTATCATCGATAAAGATACGTGTACGAACATATTCGACGTTCTATTCCCCTGCGCAACGAATTTCGAGCTCGAAACGTCTCCGGTATAACGGACTGATTCCATTCGAAATTTCAACGCTGCGTGCTCCATTTTTCGCGGACTCGCCACTCCGCGGATAACGAATTTCGTTTTGATAGTTAGTCCTTAGCGAACAGTGTGTTTGATAGTGCCAAGTGTTGGAGGTGATATGGACTTTCTAATTCACATCATTCGTGGAATTTCGAATCAGTGAAACCGCTCATTCATGAATTCTACATGAAATATACTACCGGCTGCGCGGACCTTCGATCCTTCCATCATCACGCGAATGTAAATTACATTTCGCTAATGTCTTCAAGAATTTATTAACACTTTGACTGCCACGGCGGTCACCGATGTTCGAAGCTTCCAAGTGACTTGATGAGAATTCTAATTTGACAGATAACTGATGTCGAACGAAAATGTTTAATAGCGTGATTAACTAAATAATGAAAAGTAATTGTTCCTCCTTATCTTTGCTAAACAAGAATAAGCGATACGTAAAGGCCTGAAGTTTTTCGTGGCAGTCAACGTGTTAATATGGAACAACTTTCGATTTCTATCACTTAAATTATACTTTCACTGTAAACCCACATTCGTTCCGACCATTCGCTCCAAAAAAATCGGTATGCTCGTCTCTATCGATTGCCATGCTAGTCACTGACGACCGACTGAATTACTTGAAAACAATTACAATACGTAAGATGTACGTTACAAATTGATAATAGCATAACGTAAGAAACGCAATACCACATAATCAATAACTGTCCCCATTCACGTTCGCTACGAAAGAATAACTCTTATGCAAAACGCACCAGACTCTCGTGACGATTAACATGTTCAATCTAAAATCTCTCTGAGCGAGTTCCACTCCATATCAAACGCACGACAAAGAATTAAATATCCCACACGAATCATTCAGAGACCGCTCTCTCGGCATACGATTCCAGCCACGTACCGAAGCCAGGAGAGTTCAGCAGCTACGCCAATGGCAGGTTATAGCGGCGACGCTATTAGAACGCGTTCCGCGTTTTCGCGGACGCGCATTCGCCGCGAAAGATCATCCTCGCTACCCAATGCTCCTCGAGCCGGCTCTGAAGTCATCGAATGAAACGGTCGAAAAGACTTCTGCCAACTACGAACTCGGCCGCGCATCGCGGCCGCCTCTTTCCATCTCTCTCTCGCTCCCACCCTCTCTCTGCCTCTTTCTCTCTCTAGCTTTCCAGTCTGCAGCACTCGACGCAAGGAGTGCTGGCTCTCGCTGCCTCTCTTTATCTCTATCTGCCCGTCTCTTTCTCTCTGGTTCGCTCAGAACTCGCGAAAGAGGCGCGCATCTCGTTCCTCCGGCGGCGTCGATTTAGGTCGTTAACGGTAAAACGGCGGCGTTTGCGCCCGCGAAACCAAACGAAGACCCGTTACGACGGCTCTCGATTTTGCTGACGTGCCCCGCGACCGCACGTAATTGCACCTGCACGAAAATTGCGTCACCGTTGGAACGTTCTTGAGCGTTGCACGGTTTCAAACGATCACCGACCGCCCGGAAGACCCGCGCGTTTCCCTGCCACCGCCATTTACGCTTGACGAGGCGAAACACGGTGACTTTGTAAAAATAGTGCGGAACAGGAGACCGAACGACAGTGATTCCGGACCGCTTCCCGATTCAATCGAATTCCCGGTCAAGTATTCGAGGATATTTCGTATTTCGGATTATAATTGGTTGGTGATCTCATATTCGTTAACCCTCGTTCCTCCCCTCGCATCAATCGCGAGAAATATCAATTATTTCGATATTATACTTGAAATGGAAATCGTATTTGCTCCGTTAAGCTCTGATGAAAGAATTTGCAACAACTGTTTACCTTCATTCATTGCTTCCCGTCAATGTGTCAATTTAACACCCGGCAACGAGTTCAAACGTACGAATAAAGTTCGAAAACCGTAGCACTTCGGAACGTTAAAAATTTCAAATCGACGCGGGCCTGCACCCTTTACGTTCGCGTAACGATGCCCAACAATGCCATAAAAATTTCACTCGAATCATCTCGCCGGTGCACGGGAACGGGCGAGCGTATTGCATCAATGAAAAGTTACGATCGAATGATACAACGAAGGAACACGTTGCTCATTATTTTCACGATAAACAATCCAATTTCACGTGTTTTCACTTGAAACGTATCACGCGAACGAGCGCGCGACCTCGGCCGAACGCGGCGCGCGAACATTACACGGATCGTTTTTTGGTGATCCGTCGACGAACGGAATTTCGCGCGACTCCGTTGGTCACGCGGAGCGCGTTTATCGCGAGATCTTTCGAAAGATGTCACGTTAGCCAGGAAATGGGCGCGCGCGTCGACGTCGTCGCGCAATTTCTTCGGTTCGTTCGAAAACGATTCCGTTGTCCTGGCTGGACTCGGACTCGCGCACGAACACGGACAATGGACCTCGACAGGGGCCCAGGTACCGGACCAGCGGCGAGGGAAACGCGTAGACTGCTCGTCGTACCGTTACACCCGAAAATATCCCGGCAAATAAATCGTAGAATAGCAGAACTTACCTAAAAACGTAGTCGGCCTCTCCTCGTGCGTTTACGCCTACGGCTTATCTTGCTTGCACTTTTCAGATCGTACTCGGTTAACGAGATAAACACAATACATAGAACATGCGTAACGTCGTACGTGTCGCGCGCAAGAATCGAGGCACCAACGCGAGACTCTTGTTGTACGCCGATCTCTCACCCGTATCGGTTTACGATCGGGCGACTTCTTTATTCACCGAAGCACAACCGTGTCACAATCTCGAATCTCAAGGATTCGGCCCGTACCTTCTTGTTTCCGCACTTTTTGCCACGCGATGAATGACAGGATCGTGTACTCTTACGTACGTATGCGTGTATACATATACATATATGTATACATGTATATATACACACATATAGATATATATATATATGTATATAGAATTGTCGTACGAACTTTCCGTATGAACTTCACCAGAGGATCGCCGATTCGAACGACGCCTCTTCGCCGCTGTTTTCCGAAACGTATCGGAGACAGCGGATCCGGTGTCTCGCGTGTCACGTCGCGCCTAACGAGCCAGGGCTCTGCACACCTCCGTTCCGACGAACTATCATTCCACGTCTGTCTTCGGCAGGCACGAGGCCGAGAGAGACCTTCGAACAAGACCTTCGGGGGGCCGGCACTTCGTGAGAGGGACGGGCGCAGGTATAACACCGACGACGTTAGGAGCGATCGGTGCCTCTCGAACGCGCGACGAGACAACGACGAGACTACTACTCTCCGCGCTGGTTTCCTGTGCCCCGGCACGACACGTCGCGGTGGCGTCCCGAGGAACGAGAAGCCCAGTCCGTTAAACCAGACGATCCACACAAAGGACAATCGACGATC